CGTAACACAAACTCACAAAGCTAGATCTTAAAAATTAAAAGAAGGTCTAGGAGGAGAGACTATAACCAAAATTCCTACATCAAAAAAATTAGAGATATGTCAATTAAGAAAACACCCTCACATTGATGAGCAAGGTCAAAAAGAATAAGCAGAAACTAAACTCCAAAGCACTAGATGGTAAAACAATAAAAATCAGAGTTGAACATAACAAAAAACTACTAAAAAAACAATACAAAGGATCAAGGAAACAAAACCCTTGGTTATTGGAAAGGATGAACAAAAGTGACAAAACTTTACTTGATCTAAGGAAATAAAAGAAAGCACAAATTACCAAATATTACTGAGGAGCTAGAGAGATGGCTCAGAGCACTGGCTGCTCTGGCAGAGGACCCAGTTTCGGTTCCAAGCACCTACACAGTGGCTTATAACCATTCGTAACTCCAGTCCCAGGGCATCTGATACACTCTTCTGATCTCTGTGGGCATTGTACACACATAATTCACTTACATACATACAGAGAAAGCACTCAAACTCATCTTTTTTTTCTTTTTTGTCTTTTTGAGACAGGGTCTCCCTGTAACCCCACTGTCCTGGAACTCACTATGTAGACCAGGCTGGCCTTGAACTCACAGAGATCTGCCTGCCTCTGCCTCCCAAGTGTTGGGATTAAAGGCATGAGCCACCACGCCCAGCTCAAACATATAATTCTTTTTAAATTTAAAAATTAAAGCCAGGCGTGGTGGCACAAGCTTTTAATCCTAGCACTTGGGAGGCAGAGACAGGCAGATCTTCCTGAGTTCTATGGATATGGAGAAAGGGGAATGCTCATTCACTGCTGGTGGAATTGGAAACTCGTGTAACCTCTATGGAAAGCAGTGTGGAGAGCTCTTGAAAAACTACAAATGAACCTACCCTTTGACCCGGTTATACCATTCCTTAGCATATACTCAAAGTACGCATCATATTGAAGAGGCACTTGCTACAAGCATGTTTGTTGCTGCTCTTTTCATAATAGCTAAGAGATGGAAGCAACCTAAGTGCCCCTCAAGTGATGACTGGCTAACGAAAATGTGGTACATTTATACAATGGAGTTCTACTCAGCAGTAAAGAAAGATGAAATAATGAAATTTGCAGGTAAATGGATGGATCCAGAAACTGTTATACTAAGAGGAGACAGACTCAGAAAAAAAAAATAGTATGTTCTCCCTCATTTGTGGATCCTAGCACCAAATCCTTATAAATGGAATCCCACTGAAATGGGCCAACAGCCCAGGGAAAACAGATGATGCAGAGCCACAAAAGTCCAGTGCCTTGCCACAATGGGAGGAGGATCATCCCACACCTATCACCCCCTCCAAGGCTCAGGGACTTTGGTGGAACACCTTGGTGAAAAGAACGTTAAGAGCCAGAGGAAAGGGTGGAGTGTTGACTGGAAGTGTTCTCTGACCCTATGCTGGCAAGTTATACTCACACCTCCTTCCCACACTCATGAAGGAGTTGGGGAGGGAGTCAGTTACCCCTCCTACCCAATCAGTTGATCTTAGCTGCATGTGGGGGAGGGGCTAAGGATCTGTAAGCAGAGACTGCCATGAGGCACCTCTCTCACCATTTTGTGGGGAGGTCACAGGATCTATGTTTGAGTGTGGACTTTCCAGAACAGCTGTAAATGGGGGAGATTCCCACTCTTCTGTAAATAAACACCCACCATATGCTGTTAGTAAGCCCAATAAACTAGTTAGGATTTAAAAAAAAAAAAAGAAAAAGAAAGGAGGAAGGAGTAAATAACCAAGTTTACTTATTGTGTGTATTGTGCAGTGACCTCTGAGGAGAAGGGATTTGTTTCGATCATGCTGGTCATTCATTGCCTGAAATGCCCATAAAATGGTGGCAGCAGTGGAGCCCTCAAGCTCCTCAAGCTCCACGGTCCTGAGTCCACCACATACTTGGGGTCCAGGCTTTTGATGTTTTAATTTTCATCTTGGAGGCAGCGACTCATGTCGCTTTTGCAAGAACCTAACCTGGGAGCTAGTTCAGACACCTCTCCAGGTCAGGAATCTCTATCTGTGATTTAACCTGAAACAGTTCCTCCAAAATTCCTCGAAGTGAGATGGAGACTCTCAAAGCACTTCTCTTACCTGGCTTTGGTAATGCATTTTGGAATAATGAAAACATAACTTCTGATTTACATAGCAGTATTGACACCAGCCTCTGCCACCACAAATACTGCTACATTCCCATTTTTTTCTATCTACTCTTAAAAAAACAACAAGCAGTTCTTTCTTTTATCTATATGATAAGGAGACAATGCATTGGTATACAGTGGGTGCTCCACCATGCTGGTCTGAGTGTCTGGTACCTGAGCCATCTCATCTCACCTGTTTAATAGTTCCCCTTAGTTGTTCTCCCAAAGTCATATAGCCATTGCCTAACGTGTCTGGGACACCTTTGAAGTGTAGGAGTCTGTGAGTCTACAGCACAATAGTGCAAGAATCCCAGTAATTTGCTTCATAACTGCTTCTTCCTTTTCTTGTGATGTGGCCTTGCATCACTCAATTTATATCACTAAGTTCTCATTTTATCATGTGTAAAATGGAGATCAGGCTCCTTGTCTTTTACACTTCACTGGGTTTCTGGGAGAATTATATAGGCTAGTGGAAGTTCACAGGCCTCAAGTTCTCCAGACTGTAGGAACAAGGGCCACTGACAGAAAACCCAATTAAAGTAGATTTGAAAAACAAACAGCAGGGGGAAGGAACATGAGAACCAGGGGCATGGCAGGTGGTGGCAAACAAGTCTGTACCGGGTATTGGAAGAGTAATCCAGGAAGATCCTCTTCCAAAATCGTGAAGTTTAGTACTGCTTCTGCACACACAGTCCAAAATGCTGGCGTCCTTGCAGAGAAAGTGAAAGCACAGCCTTCACCCTCACCAGTCAGGCACCAACTGTCACAGAACCCTCCTGGAGCTTTGTGTTTTAACTCCTCTCTGACCTGATTGGCCATACACCTAGAACTCAGCCAATCAGACTGGCCTGGCGGGATGGACTCTTCTGATTGGACAGAATGGAGTCACGTGACCTGTACCTTGTAGGTAGAGAAGTGGAGGGAGGGGTTGGTGAACTCTTCAAGACAGGGTTAGGGGCAACTTTTACATGCGCGATACCTCGTCTGCATGGATGTGCCTGCTCAGGCTCACCTCTCCCACCCCTCTGCCTTGTGCCCACAGAAGACTTCGTATCACTTCTTCCCTTCCAGGCCCCATTTCAATTTGTTTCTCTGCTCTTGCCTGTGTGCTGGGGCTAGCTGCTTCAGTTCCTTCCTCGACTCTCCTGATAGAAGGGACTGTCACCTGGAATTGGAAGCCAAATAAACCCTTTCTTCCCCCAAGTTCTTTAAAAAGGCAGGGCGTGGTGGCGCATGCCTTTAATCCCAGCACTTGGGAGGCAGAGGTAGGCAGATCTTTGTGAGTTCGAGGCCAGCCTGGTCTACATAGCGCTGCACTACTGTTCCCTAAGATTCCTGTTGCCTAGTGACATCATAGCCATTCTGTGGGAGAGGGTGTGTATGATAGTCAACGTCAGGTATCTTCCTTAATCACTCTCCACTTTACTTTTTAACAATATTTCCATTCATTTTTATTTGTATGAATGTATTGCCTGCATATATATATGTGGACCTGTCTGGTGGAAATGCCTGTGGTCTCCTCGGTGCCCGCTGTGTACGCCTGACTCCGTCAGGTCCCCGCAGGTGTGCTTCCCGGCGCGGGTGGGCCCTGCTGTTTGCCTGGGGCCCCACTGGCTGCAGGGCTGCTGCAAGGGGATATTTCCATTCATTTTTATTTGTATGAATGTATTGCCTGCATATATATATGTGGACCTGTCTGGTGGAAATGCCTGTGGTCTCCTCGGTGCCCGCTGTGTACGCCTGACTCCGTCAGGTCCCCGCAGGTGTGCTTCCCGGCGCGGGTGGGCCCTGCTGTTTGCCTGGGGCCCCGCTGGCTGCAGGGCTGCTGCAAGGGGCTATAGGAGCTGGAGGCGGCTGGGTCCAGCAGCTCTCCTGTCTTCTCCTCCCCGCCGCCGCCGCCGCTAGAGGGCGGCTCTTCCCTGTCTCGGGGCCCCAGGGGCAGCGCGGCCTGTGGCTTCTCTTGGGAGAAGGCCTGGGCGCGCTGGATGCGGTCTCTCAGGGCTTGAAATCGCTCTTCTTGGGGCTCCTGAGGAAGCTGCAGTTCTGGCCGGACCTGGCGCAGGGACTCGCGCTCTGGCGGCTCAGCGTCTCTGCTTCCCTGGCGGCTTCCCAGTCTGGGTGGCAGTGGTTGCTCCCGGTCCCACCTGTCTCCCAGAGCCGCCGCGGATCGGTTCCGCCGGGAGGTAGCCAGGCTTGGCCCTGGAAGAGACTGGAATCTTGGCACTCACTCTGACCAGAGGAAGAAGTAGGGCTGCCAATCCAGCGCAGCGGGATGACCTGGGACCGCCGGCAGCCGGGGCGGTGGAGGTTCGGGTGGCCCCTGGGCCCGGGCGGAGACCCCCTTCAGCTGGAGCTGGGCTGCACCCGCTGTGGCCCCTGGGGCTTGGGTCCAGCGGCGCCGGCTGGTTGGCGGTCGCAGTCCAGGCTTTGGCTGCAGCTCCGAGGACCACCTGGCGGTGCTGTTGCTCCAGGAGGCCCGGTGCAGGCTGGCCCGGCCCTTTTCCCTGTCCTTTTCCGTTTGCACGGGGACAGCAGACTTGGTTGAGGCACTCCTCAAAAGAGCGAGGAGGAGCAGACTCTTCCTGCCATGGGTCCTGCTGCAGGGACTCGGGCCCAAGCTGGGAGACAGGTGTCTCTTCGCTTGCCGGGGATCCTGCTGGCTGCAGATGTGTGTCTCCAGGTCTCCTGGGTGCCCACTGTGTGCGCCTGACTTCGTCAGGTCCCCGCGTATATGAGTGTTTTGCCTGCACATATGTAGGTGCAACACATGCATGCAATTCCCTGAAGAAGCCAGAAGAGGGAGTCATGTACCTGGAA